GTTTAAATCTTAGATTCAGAAACTGCAGATGCACAGGGCAGACTATTTTGTTAGGGGGAAAAAGACATCCTGAATATTATGAAAAGAGCAAAATATAGCCTTACAGGTTGTAGAGTTTTTCTCCCTGTAACAGAAACTTATTTTTATGATAAAAGCTAAAATCGATAATAGATCAGGGATGCACCTTGCTCTTTATCCCAGGCAGCCGGCTGGCTACCGTTTCCTCCTTCGGATGCTGGTACAGGTAGAACACGGCCGAGCAGGTCCTGCTAGCCTCTGTAAGCCCGACCGTTTCGGACAGGCCACGCCGGGAGCAACGACACACTCCCTCACCCTGAAGTGGGCCCGGCAAAGCCTGGTGAGCTGAACGCTGACTAGGGAGTCCCATCTGTCTCCTCCTCCCTTTCTGAATATTTTTAAAGGGATGGTGTTCTGAAAGCCAAATGGACAGTTTATCGGTATCATGGATTTCAATATTGCAAACTATATTTGTTTAATACAGTTTTGTTTCTCTCATCATTCACCACTTTTATCTAGAAAATGAAGGTCCAGTCTTGTGACATATATCGTAACTTTCAGGAAAAGCACTCAGAACAGTCGTCAGGCCTTTGGAGCGCTGAGCTAACGTGCAGAACGGCAAGCGTCACGGCCAGGTGCAGGTCTTCAAGTCTTCGAGGAAACCACAGAAAGTTTTCAGTTTGGCAGCTGAGTTAAACATAATCAAGGAAAGAGAGGTTTTGTGTTCTAGCCCTTTGGAAAAAGGTGGCATTGCTTCTCGGTTGTGACCGCACTAGTTAATGCATGATGGGGCTCCCAGTTCCCCTTGACATTGTGCAGAGCTGCGCGACATTGTGTCTAAAGGCTTCCTTACTCTGCAGCAGACTACTGCCAGGAGAGCTACTCACAGTGAGGGTTCCGCCTGGACGCCCGGAGGCCCACCGCGAGGACGAGGCGGCTGACGGGCAGGCTGGCCCCAGTGCCCCGTGTACATCATGGAAAGGCCTTGCCTCCGAGGACAAGCATTTATTTAACCAAAAATCCACAAAAATGCTGTACTTAACTGATTGGATGTAAAATTAAGGATAATACTATTTTTCATATATAATTACCGCGCGCTAACCGATTGCACAACTGGAGCTTCCCATTTTTCATATAAAGAAACAAAATCCTATTTTAGTCTATGCATAAATAAAAATACTGACTTGAAAGCTGGTTGCAGGAAATGAAAAATCTTATATGATGCATGTTATTGGAGCTTTTTTAAGGCATATTTTGGGTATATCGGGGCAGTATTGGCTGGGTTGAGTAAAGGATAGTAATGTCATCTCTTTCAGCATCTGGGGAGTCTGTTCTGACTGGTGGTGCTGAAACTTTTTACGCTCCAAGGAGCCTAGAATTTTCTTCTGAGTTCCATTAGTGCGTCAGATACCTTTTTAATTTTTCTTTTTCCCTTTCACCCGGGAGGCAGTTTGAAAGAGAGACAGTCACAGTTTTAAGAATGATCCACAGTGTTAAAAAATTTGGCATCTTTATCAGACATGGAGCCGTCATCTTCCGTCTTTAGAGCATTTCTGCACATGAGGAACGGTAGCCCCTTTGGGGGCAGACCCCTCAGGCGTCTTCCACCTCACCTACTCCCTGGCTCTATGTGTACAGCAGTTCTGAGCCTGTGTGCCTGCACGTGCCCCAGGATCGGCGCCCCCGCAGGGAATGCGGGGGGCGGAGGGGGGCGGCACCTCCCTAGCTCGCCCCTGCTTCCCAGAAGTAAATGTGAATGTGCTCTCAAAGCCGGAGCGGCACCTGAACCAGATACGCGCATCTGTCTGGGACTGTGGGTGGAACAGCTTGTCTCAGGAGTGGAGACTGAGGGGGCGGACGTAAATTTTGCAGAGACGCGGGCACTGGCACACTCTTGGGGTGTTTTGGTTCTTTCCAGACTTTGTGGTGGGCAGATTGCTAGACAGGCAGGATCTACTTTATTCCCTTTGAGTGAAGGTCTTACTCTTTTTGGGTGAAAGGCTTCCTTCATGGAATAGACAAATGAACAGCTGTGTCCGCCAGGAGGAGAGCCGGGGTCGGGAGGAAGGAAGAGGGGCCGGGGAGGGAGGAAGGAAGAGGGGGCGCAGCGGGAGGAAGGAGGAGGGGGCGGAGCAGGAGGAAGGAGGAGGAGGCGGGGTTGGGAGGAAGG